CACACACACACACACACACACACACACACACATACATACATACACATTCATATATATTCTCAATTTTTGTATGATTTACACATTATGCAAACAGGTCAAACTTTAGGAAATATTGGGTTAATCCTCTGTTGATTTTTTTTCCCTAGGTAGCTGAAAACTTTGTTCCACCTTTGCTGGATGCAGTTCTTATTGATTACCAGAGGAATGTTCCAGCTGCCAGAGAGCCAGAAGTGCTTAGTACAATGGCTATCATAGTAAACAAATTGGGGGGGCACATTACTGCTGAAATACCTCAGATATTTGATGCTGTTTTTGAATGCACATTGAATATGATTAATAAGGTAATTCAGTGACTTATAAAAATGAAAAATAGCTTTTGGAAGACCACTTATAAACACTGGTTTGACTGATTTTTAGTAAAGGATGGTTTGTTTTTTTGTAGCAGAGCTGGAATTCTGTGTTGGTTTTATTTTTTTCCAAATTTATTGCTAGCTAGGCTCATTTCCCACTGCTTTTAATAGTTTGATGGTGCAACCAACTATAATAATCATCACTTTTTTTCTCTATTTCCCCTTCATCCTGTTAATTTCATGTGTAACTTTATTATTTTCTATGTCCTTTGCATCCTAACTTCATGTGTTTTTTCTACGTTAATAGAATATTACACTACATGTTTTATATTATGACTACTCTCCTTAAAGTATTTTTCTGGCTTCCTCTGCTCATGGATTGAGCACACACAGATTTCTTTAAACCCTACTTTGCAAGTGAAGAAGACTTTTTCTTCATATCTTTCTGCACTTATATTCTAACAAATTAGAATTTCTAAAGGTAATAATTCAGTTAATATGTTCTCAATCATTCAAGGACCTCTCAATTTCTGAAAACACAATCACTTTCTATTCTTTGCACTAAGAACTGCTTCTCACAACCTTTGTTTCTTTTAAGTTCCTTCTCAAAATTCTAGGAGACATTTGGATCATCCCCCTCAATTAGAGGTGTAGAGTTTAATGACTCAAGATGACCTGATTAAACCAAACAGCTTTGGTTGTGGCTTCCAACAACTCCAAAATAGCTTGCTAAATTATAACATTACACATCACTAAAGACGAAAATGAACAAATACAGGTGAAACTCGAAAAATTAGAATATCGTGCAAAAGTTCGTTTATTTCAGTAATGCAACTTAAAAGGTGAAACTAATATATGAGATAGACTCATTACATGCAAAGCAAGATAGTTCAAGCTGTGATTTGCCATAATTGTGATGATTATGGCTTACAGCTCATGAAAACCCCAAATCCACAATTTTTGCATGTAATGAGTCTTATCTTATTTATTAGTTTCACCTTTTAAGTTGCACTACTGAAATAAATGAACTTTTGCACAATATTCTAATTTTTCGAGTTTCACCTATACATCATTAGAGAGTAGTGTTAAGTATTGAAAAATGAAATAAGGTATCATTTTTCAATTTACAATTCTAAATTTGCCATCAGCTATGAATCTCTGCCTCTGTGTCTTACTGTAATTAAGCCAACATAAATGAGTTTTTGTCATAAATAGGTCCATGTAAATTCTCTTTGGCAATAGTAATTGACTTAGGACTGGTTGCTTAACAATCATTTGAAATTAATACAAACTTGATTTGCACGTTGAACCACATGGTTTATTTAACGACCAGGGTGACTGACTCAACAGCTGTCATAAACAGTCTACAATTGAGTTCAATCATGTACCCCGAGTTATGACTGCAATGATTTATAACCAAAAATCCTGTTCTGGTTCTGGTTGAGGTTATAAGTCAAGGGCTACCCATATATTCTGCCATTATCTTTTTATGAGATTTTTAAAAATTCTTCAGTGTAATCTATAGCATAAGAGTACTTTATTCAAGTACAAGCCAGATCTGGCCTGATTTAGATTTAGATCTAGGATCAATACTTTTATTTACTGCAGGTAATTTTTCCCTTTTTCTTGACCAAACTTTCCGTGTTTGGTTGCCTCTTTGCCCTCTGCCTCCTGGGAATCCACACTATGTTCTATCACAGGTGTAAAGGGAAAGAGGTGCATTTTGTGCTCAGGTTACAATAGAATTTATTACAGGTAGTCAACTTAATATCCATAGTTGGAACCAGAACTTCTGTTGATAAGTGATGCGGTTGTTAATTGTGCCCAACTTTATTACCTTTTTGCTACAGTTGTTAAACAGATCATTGCAATTGTTAAATGAATCTAGCTTCCCCTATTTACTTTGCTTGTCAGAAGCCTCCTTGGAAGGTAGCAAATGGCAATTATGTGACCCCAAAATGCTGAAACACCCAGTTGCAAAGCACCCAAATTTTTGCCATGGGGACACTGACACTCATAAGAGCAAGGACTAGTTGTATGTCGTATTTTTCAGTGCCATTGTAACTGTGAACAGCTGATACATGAATGATTGTAATTTGAAAACTACCTGTATAAACTGAATAAGGGTTGCTAGATGGTCTAACTGGAATCTAAATTGGTAGGACTCACAGTTTTGCTATTTGAACCAATGTCTAATGCCAGTTACAATATTCTTAAAGGTGACTGTCTTGACCAAGTGGATTTTGTAGCTAAGACATCTTTCTTTATATCTTAAATATTTTTCAAATAAATCATGACCATAGACTTCACCCTGCCTTAATGTTGAAGTTAAAGAGAAAAGATAACTACTGCTATCATTTCCTGCCTTAATCTCTGCTTATAAGAGAAGAACTAGCATAATTGGAATGCAGAAGAGTAATGAATTTTACTTTGTACAGGATTTTAGAAACTGCAAAGACCTTTCAGGACTTGGGGATAGTTTTGAGAATAACTACTTCAGCAGCTTTCCAGTTCACTTACAAAAGCTATCTGAGGCACATCCCAATAGATACTTCAGGAATATTACTATTTATTAGAGGTTGTGTACTTTAGAAAGTCAGTGTGGGGTGACATTTTTTGAATTCTACAAATGCATATTGATTTTATATTCCCTGAATATTAGAGAATCATTTGTTTAGTGACTGAAGTTACGGCATTAAAAATGGTTTTATGACAGTTTTTCACGCAACCATTGCAGCATCCTCATGGTTATTTCATCAAAATTTAGATGCTAGGCAAGTGGCTCACAGTTCCATGGTCATGTGATCACCCTTTGTAACCTTTTGACAATCAAAGTCAATGGAGATGCCAGATTCACTTAACCAACTGTGTTACTAACTTATCAACTGCAATGATTCATTTAACAATTATGGCAAACAAGATTGTAAGATAAAAATTTACAAGTAAAGAAGTTTCTAGAATTGCATGTAAAAGTTTCTCTTTTTCCTTAGGATTTTGAAGAGTACCCTGAACACAGAACAAACTTTTTTTTATTACTACAAGCAGTAAACTCCCATTGCTTTCCAGCGTTCCTGGCTATTCCACCTGCACAGTTCAAGCTAGTATTGGATTCTATCATTTGGGCTTTCAAGCATACAATGAGAAATGTTGCAGATACAGGTGAATATGCTTTATCCTAATCTAAGTGATCATGATTTCAAAGCATGTAGCTATGCCACTTTTTTACAGTTTGTTATCTGTTCAAATATTGTCAAAATGTAATTATCAACAAACGTTAACATTTTAGAATGACTTTGCTTTGTGTTTTTTTCTAGGCCTTCAGATCCTTTATACACTTTTACAAAATGTTGCACAAGAAGAAGCTGCTGCCCAGAGCTTTTATCAAACTTATTTCTGTGACATTCTTCAGCACATTTTTTCTGTTGTAACAGACACATCTCATACTGCTGGTAAGAACTGAATCCTGAGGTGGGGAAAATCTGCTACAAGTAGAACCTACATCAGTTACAAATATTAACTCCTAATTTGTATATTCTAACCAGGTTTGACGATGCATGCATCAATTCTTGCATACATGTTCAACTTAGTAGAAGAAGGAAAAATAAGTACTCCTTTAAACCCTGGAAATCCAGTAAACAACCAAATGTTTATTCAGGAGTATGTTGCTAATCTTCTTAAATCTGCATTTCCTCATCTACAAGAGTAAGTGCTCGATTTCCAAACACAACAAAATTTATATGCAAGCACCCGTCATATAAACTAATTCCTTTGACTTTTTCTTTTGTGTTAGTGCACAGGTTAAACTGTTTGTAACAGGACTCTTCAGTTTAAATCAGGATATTCCTGCTTTCAAGGAACACCTTCGGGACTTCCTAGTACAAATAAAGGTATGTTTGATTTTATTAATGTGTATTGGATTGCATTTATATAGGAAGAGGAAAAAATATTCATGCCCAGTGAGCATAATTGCCTGGTCAGATGGTAGACTGAAATTTTTGAAGCACTGAACTTTCTTTATAAATTTTGCAAATATTGTATTAGTAAATATAGCCATATTCTATATTCCTGAGTTAGCTTGAGTTCTTAAATGGATCTTGTTTTCATCATCTGACTTTGTATTATTTAGATCAAGCAATAATGTTTCCACGTACATGATGTGCATGAAATATCTAAATATATTTGGTTCTGCAACTTTTAGGTAAAGTTGGGGTTTTCTAATGGTTAAGTAGCAGTTCAGGAAGTGGTGAACTCTGCTGAGGTGTGAAATGAGTGGCTAGAAGTCTTCAAAAGTTATTTAATGGACCGTATTTTTCGGAGTATGGGATGCACCTTCCCCCCCCCCTAAAAGAGGGTGAAAATTTGGGTGTGTCTTATACACTGAATGTAGCTACACCCACCCATCAACACCCACCCTTTTGCCTCTGCTCCAAGCCATTTGCCTCTTTGCAGCAAACGGGGGCTTCAATAAGCTATAACAATCCCTGCAGCCTCTAACAGCTGATGATCTGGAGAAATTGAAAATGAAACTTGCTGTTTGCTCCACATGGCAAATTGCTGGGAGGCAGATTTTTTTTTTCTTGTGCTAATGTTTGCTGCAAGGAGGTAAGTCAACAACTATAAATGCCTATAGAGTGTTCAAATTATTAGACATATTTTTTAAAGACTGTGTTCTAGACAAAGTAACAAAATGAAGAAGCTTTTTAAAATAAATGCTTGATCTGAAGAGGCCCAGTGCCTCTTATTTTAAAAACTGCTATTCTTTTCAATAGCAGAGAATAACTATACTTCCAGAAAGCACATTTTAACAGCATCTGTACAAGTATAGTCTGAAATATAACACTACAAACAGTGTATATTGTCTGTACTGTTTGTTGCAAGGAGCCAAATTGCTGGGAGGCAGAGGCAGATATTTTTCCTTTGTTTTCCTCCCCAAGGTGCATCTTATACTTCAAAAATACAGTAGTTGAGGTATTCAAATAATTGAGAATATGTGTAGCTCAGGGTTAAACTGTTAGGTTTTGTTTTTTTATTTAATTTTTATTTTTAAACAAACACAGACAGAACAAAAAACATAAAACCATTTTCCATTACAAATTATAGAAAGTGTCAGTTGGTTACAAAATTTCTGTGCATCCCTTCCATAGTCATCACTTACAATTCATATCAAATCACATATTTTTAAATCAAATATATTTATATACATTACTATTGACTATAATTGATTTTACATCTTTTTATATGAAATATTCTAAATTTAAGTAAAACTATATAATGGCATTCCATTAGACCCTCCTAAAATCATCCAATAACATTAATCTTTATAACATGTTCTAAGTAAACAAAATTGGTAAATAATATAGAATCTTTAAAGTTTGTCAAATCTATACCTAATCCAGTTGTTTTGAGGTTTTGGTTTTGGTTTGTAAGGGCTCCATATTCTACCGTTCTGTCAGAAGATTTCCCTGTTTCTAACCCTGTGACTTAAGCTGGATTTTTAAAAGAATAAGTGTATCAGTAACTATCCAGAGGGGCTGGATTAATATTTTATTTATTGGGCAGAATAATAATTACCCAATTAATAAAATCAGATGAAATGTTCTTTTCGTATCTTGCAAGATTAATTTGCAAGATTAAAAGCTTCTGCATCTTACAAAATTTTGTGTTTTAATATGAAAATATGTTACAGTATTAATGTTACCAAAGAACTGTCATCCTTTGAAAAAAACAATATGCAGGATGAATTACTAATGATAATATATAATTGTGTTATTGTAGCAGGCAAAGTCTTAATGCAGAGTTCCTCAACCTTTTCAGCTTTGTGGACTAGCCCGGGGTGGGTGGGATGGTTCCGTGTGTGTGGCGGGTGAGCACAGACCTTCCTTTGTGTGAAAATGGAGTGCGCGCGGACACAGCTACCCACTGCTCACGCAAATGGGAATGTTGTGCACTCAACCGCTTCAGTGGCCTGGTTCTGAAAGGCTAAAGGACTGGGGGTTGGATACCCTTGTCTTAGTGTCTGTTTCTAGGCTATTGGATAATTCAAACAACTGTACTGTTTCCATAATAAGCCCTCAAATATTATGAAGATAGATCTCTTTCAAAATATTATTATGCATATCTAATGCAGTGGTGGGTTCTGGATCCCGTTGCAACCAGTACAGTTGCAACGGGGCCCAATGTCCTCCACATGAACACGCGCATGCATCCTACTTTCCAATGATTCCTCCGCGACACTTTGGCTGCTTAGCCGAATGTCGTGCAGGTGCTGTACGTGCCGTGTGCTGAAGTGCCGAAGAGTTTAAAGACAGGTAAGGACGACGGGCGAGTAGGCCTTCCGGAGCACCGTACCAGAATGGTATTTAGTACTCCGGACAGGCACCGGTACGCCCGTATCGGGGCGTACCGCCTACAACCCACCACTGATTTAATGATATGTTTTACACTACTTAACAGAGTTACCATCTAGCCAGTGTGTTCTCTGTTTTGGTCATTTCAAAATCTCCCACAAATTTGGAGTGCATCCAAAATTCTTTTAGCAGCAGTAAGTATACCCTAATACAGGTAGTCCTCGACTTACAATCATTTGTTTAATGACCAAAGTTACAATGACACTGAAAAAAGTGGTTTATGACCATATGATTAAAATTCACACACTTGTCAACTGGCGTATATTTATGACAGTTGCAGTGTCCCAAAGTCATGTGATCACCTTTTGCGACCTTCTGACAAGCAAAGTCATTGGGCAAGTCAGATTCACTTATTGACCATATTACTAACTTAACTGCAGTGATTCACTTAACAGTTGTGACACGAAAGGTCATAAAATGGGAGAAAACTAACTTAAAACATCTTGTTTAGCAACAGCTGGGTCATTCTCTTGTGTTTCCATTTTAAATGTCTTCTAATCCAGACATTTTTAATCCAATATGTCTGATTCTATTTCTGCATCAAGCAAGATTGTTTCACATCTGTCATTCCTTCATTGACATAGCCTATCTATAAAAGCAGACATCACTATTAATATTATTGATATTGTGGTTGCCAATTTATGGCCCCATTCTTTGAAGATCTCTTTTAATATTTAAAATTATAGCATTTTTAGTTATTTTGTAAATCCAATATTTAATCAATATTAATCCAATATTGGCCTTCAAAGTTCAAGCCATCCCAGCACTTCCACAATCATATGATCATAATCACTTAGCAACCAGCTCATATATAAAACTGTTGCAGGTCCCACAATCAGGTGATTGAGATTTGCAACCTTCTCTGCCAGCTTTCCACAAACAAAGATAATGGGAAAGGCAGCAGCAAAGGTCTCAGGTAGCTTAGGTAAGTCTCCCCCACCAACTTTCTGCCAGTTTACCCACTGCCTTTGGTTGTTGGAAGCCAGCAGGAAATAGCAAGAAGCTGTTAATGATCCACAATCCTCACTGAAAAGCAATGGAGACTGCAGTGGTTGCAGTTGCTAAGTGGCGCAGTCATGTGACATCACTTTACAACCATGTATTTAGCAACAGAAGTTCTGATCCCAATTACAATTGTAACTCAAGAACTACCTATATAAACCCTTCAATTCAAAATCTTATTTAGCTTTTTAATAAATACTAAAAAAAATAAAAAGACTACTTCCAACTCTGATATGCTGTGATTCTATGGTAAAAAGGATCAATTCTGCCAGCTTTTGAAAATTTGGGATTAAAGGGAAAAGAATTTTAACATAAAGAGGAACCAATTTAAAAAAGACTTGCTTTAAAGATATAATCTAAAATAATATTGTGTTTAAATAAAATTTACTTCAGCGTGATTTGAAGATAAATGACTATATTTAGTGCCTTTTAAATTATTTTTAGAAATTATTTGCTGTATGACTGGGTTTATAATTTCTGAATTATTTCATTTCCATAGGAATTTGCAGGTGAAGACACATCTGACTTATTCCTGGAAGAAAGAGAGACAGCTCTTCGACAGGCTCAGGAGGAAAAACACAAACTTCAGATGTCTGTCCCTGGCATCCTTAATCCACATGAAATTCCTGAGGAAATGTGTGATTAAAAAATAACCAGTTTTTCTGTTTTCTTTCTGTACAGCTGCTTTGTTGTAGGAGAAAACAGGACTTGGATATTTGTTGACCAAAATGATGCCAATTTGTAAATTTAAGATGTCACCTAGTGGCCCTTTTTTCTTATGTGTTTTTGTATAAGAATTTTTCTGTGAAATATCCTTCCATTGTTTAAGCTTTTTGTTTTGGTCATCTTTATTTAGATTTGCATGAAGTTGAAAATTAAGGCATTTTAAAAATAAAACACTTCATGCCCATTTTGTGGCTAAGAGTAAAAAAGGCAAAACATATAACTTGTAAAGTCTATTGCAAAATTAAACATTTTTCCAGTTAAAACACTTTTTTTTCTTTTAATTAAGGATCATTTTCTAGTCTGTTCTGCAGTCTAGAAAAAGGGTAATAAAGAAATCCATCAAATTAATTGTTAGTAATAGGAAGATGAATGCTGCATCATCAGACATGAGCAGCTTTGGAGCTAAGTGATAAGGCTAGGCTACTGATATTTGCAAGTCATATGGCAAATTTGCAGCAAGATCATGTGCATATCATCCCATTGTAAAGCAACTTGGAAAAATATGGGAACACAGTACAGTTAGTTATTTTTACACAGTTCTTTTGTTTTTGTGTGTGTGCTGTCGCTTTGTCGACAACAGCTTTTTGTTTTCCTCAATGAGGAGTGTTGCTCATTTGTGAGCCTTCATTAACTCGAAGTGAAATGGTTAAAATATTTATCCTGTTAGAATAGGCTGCATCTTTTTAACAAGCTCATTAAAGAAGAACTCTGGCTTTTGAGATGACTTCTACTAATTTACATTGTTTACCATGCTGTAGTGCTTTAAGAACACTACTTAAAAAGCAAAATAAACTTGGTTTACATTTATTTTCCTTTTGTGGCTGTATTCTTTCATTAGAATGCTTTAATCATTGTGAAGTTTAGAGTAAGAGAAAATTTCAGTGTTGATCTGGAAAAATTGTAGAAGCTATCATCTTGACTGATGGGATCCATAGCATGGAATGGGACAACTGCAGAGACCCTGACCCTGACATCTGGATGTGGGATAAGAGGGGATAACTCAATGGTTTTGATTCCATCTGTTCATGGTATACTTGTGGGCCAGTTCCGGGGATTAAGAGTGGGAGATGCAGTTCTGCACTGGTTTTCTTCCTTTCTCTGGGGTTGATTCCAATTGTTGGAGAGAAAGTGGGGTCTAGTGCACAGCCTCTTCTGGGCTCAACATTCTTCCCCAATCCTATTTGACATCTGCATGCAGCTTATAGGTGAGGTCATCCACATAAACTATCAGTATACTGATGATTACCAGCTTTACATATGTGCCCTTTGCCAACCTAGTGATGCCTCAGTTGAGGATATTCTTGAGAGAAGCGTGCTACAACTTGTTCTTTCCAAATTACATCTTCAACATGCTTTTTTTACTAGAGTTTAAGAGTTTTATTTAGCTTGTATGCCGCCCTATTCCCAGAAGACTCAGGGCAGCTAACAATAAGAAGGAAAGGGGGGTACAAAAATAAAACAATTAAAAATTCAGCAACAGTCGTAACATAGGATGGGGCTGGATAATTCAACAGCCCCAGGCCTGCCGGAACAGCCAGGTCTTAGTTGCTTTGCGGAAGGCCGGAAGGGTAGTAAGGGCCTGGATCTCAACGGGGAGATCGTTCCATAGGGCCGAAGCAGCTACAGAGAAGGCCCTCTCCCCAGGGGGTCGCCAGCTGACATTGGCCGGCAGATGGAATCCGGAGGAGGCCTAGTCTGTGGGATCTAAAAGGTCTTTGGGAGGTGACTGGCAGGAGGCAGTCTATCAG